TTGCATTATCTCGCAAAAGTATTACATACCCCCCAAAAAACTTTGCATTCTCTTGCAAAAATTTGCATTTTCTAGCAAAAGTACTACGTTCACTCAAGAAACTTGCTTTTACTCGCAAAATACTTGGATTCTCTCACAAAAGTGTTGCATTTCTTTCAAAAAAATTTGCAGATGAGACAAATATCCTTTTTCCTCCCACCACCTCATATTAAGTCAAACACAAAAGCAAACATGAAATTTCTCAGGAAAATGCAAATGTTTTGCGAGCAAACACAAAAGAACTGAAATATATATATTTTTATCCCATCTCATTTTTTACTATCACTGTGTCTCTTTAGGGGACACACTGAGTGCACAAATAACATGAGTACTATGATATATCTTTCTGAGCAATACAGTCTGACCAAATACAAGCACAACCACACTTCACATGTACTGTATAATTATTTTAAACATTTATGGTTGACCTGACCATTACACACACACAAGCACACGTGACAGTCTATAAACCCTTGTGCCACAGGGTAACCCTACATTCTTACATTAGCACTACATAACCACAACTAGCTGCTAAACAAACACGTACACGTTCCTCTCTCACATCTCACATCTCATCACAGAGAGATGCTGAAACATTCAGTGAAGACCACAGACACATGTCCACAAATCCCTGCTAAAGACCCACAACACCCTGACAGCAAGACCAAAGAAGCCCAGTGCAAATTAGATCTATCTTCTACTGTATCTCAATTCTTACTCTTAGACAGCAACGGCTCACATCAAACTGCTGAGCCATGAAAGAGCAATAAAGAAGCCTCTAAGGAGATGCTCTGAGAAGATGTGAAGAACAAATATTTTTGACAAATATTCTGTAGGAAAGACTCTGGAGCTGCTTCTTACCTCAAACACCTCCTCATCCAGGATACGCGTCCCGAAGACCACGATGCCTTTGGTGTCGATGATGGGGTGAGGGCTTCTGGATAGCGTCCGTGTCACCTTTTTCTTACAGTCCAAAACCAGAGTGATGCTCTGTTTGTGAACACTGATCGCCACACGGTGCCACCTGACACAAACACACACACACACATGAATGAGGGTCTATCCATTTATCCATTTATCCATCTATACATCTGTCTATACGTCTATCCATCCATTTATAGATCTGTCTATCCGTCCATCTATCTATC